GGAGACCGATCCTCATTGCTTCTTCCAGCATCGCTCTGGAGCACCCGCAGATAGCGTTCTTCTTGTTTCTCCCAGACCTCTTTGATTTTTGCGTCCGCTGCGCGTTTGCCATTGCAGAAGCGAGTGAAATCGGATCTCGGAATCCAAGAACAAGAGTTTTGCATGTTGTGGGTATCCTCTGACTGCAGGTCCTTCCATTTAATCTTCAGCCAAGAACATGGATCAGACTTGTATTGTTTATCCGGATACTTTCTTTCTTCGGAGGCAATCCCGTAGATCCCGACAACATTGTGTTTGGTATACCGCCAGACTTTGCTCCGTGGACTAGCTTTGATCTGGGAAATCCGCAACTCTCGTTCAGAAATGTCGTTCATTTTGTCATTGGTATATCCATTTCTGTATTTGAATTTGTATCTGGCTCCATGACGAGGCCCATACTGGAGGATGACGAAGGTTGATCCTCGCAGCTTTCCCCATCCATCCACAACCGCGTCGGTTTCCTCGTCATCTTCTGACGGATCAAGGCTGGCTAAAAGCTCTGGGTCTCTGGACTCACTAGCACCTCGTGCTTCCGGTGACAAATCGGTTCGATTTTGTGGATGACCGGCCATAGAGTGGCGTTCATGAATATTCGAGCTTGACCCCTCTCCAGCCTGATGTACCGAGCCAGCGTCATGCATCGGGGTGTCATCTCTCTCGATAGACTCTACCACTGAGCTGTGCGATGGCAATGAGGCATTGGCTTGATCGGTTGGATCAATGTTGTTAGGCTGGTCGCTATCGTGTATGTCTGACGAGTTGTCTGTTGGACGAGGTCCTTCCGAGAGATCCACCTGTTCAGCTGCGCTCTTAATCTTTGCAGAAGATATGGCGTTTTTTTGGGCTAGTTTTTGCATTTCAACAAGCTTGGAATGGTTGTCCTTATTATCCTTGTTGTCCTTGCTTTTCTTTACTCCACTGTTGGAGGCCATATTGAGAGAACGGACCTGATCTTTTCCGTGAAAAGCAAAGAATTTACGCGGTTGATGGCAGGTATTTATGCATTTCAGATATCAAGGTCAGACCGTAGTAACGACATAGGGCCGGTATATTGATTGTGAAGTACAAGTAAATGCGTCGGCCTCTGATTTCAATTTTATTGACATTATGGAAAGCGCAACTGAGCATTAATTTGCGTTCTAGCTCGTTCAGTTCCTGCCTTAGAATAAAGAGGCTAGATGGCACACGCTTTTTGCGTCTCTGGTGGGGTCTAAAGCTCAGGCCCTAAGTATAATCGCTTCTTCTAGCTGGATGCAACCTCCTCGAAGTTTACTTTTGGAGCCGCCCCTCTTTCAAGTATTGAATCAAGCCAGCATTTTTGTGAGTAAGATTGATCAATCAACGTATGAACATTTTAGCATCTTTGTTCCTCGTGTGAATGTCATTTGCGGCGACTTTCAGTAAGCTGTCGCTCGACGAACCCAATTGTGCTGACCTCAAGGACTCATTCATTGATTATGCTAGATAGGTTTCAAATTGAGCAACTGAATCAAGAGAAACGACCGGTTTGCAAAATGCAAAGTTTACCTGTGTTTTTTGGCCTGCAAGTGGGTAGACTCATACAGAACCAGGTGTGCATTTGGTTTCTGAAATGCCCTCTTTTACTATTACTGACTTGACTCGGAACTTCATCCAACCTCACATAAATGCGCTTCGCTCTTGAGTAAGAGTGGCGTCATAGAGAGCCACTTAGTCGATATCCAATTTACTGCTCATTCAGAGCTTCTGAACGAAGCCCTCTTTTACGTTAAACCTGCAATTTTACGCCATTTGCCCTCAGACTAATGCTGCTTCATGACTTCAAGACAGAACTATATGCTGAATACTGTATGGGAACCGGAAAGCTAAACAAGACTTAATTCTGCGTGACATGATAAACGAGAGAGGTATCAGGAAATACATAAAAATCCACAGGCAGATTCAGACGGTGGAATTTCACGACTTGACTCCAGAAGCAAAAGGCCTTCTGCAGTACCAAAATCAGGGGTAAGATTAAAATAAAGGATAAAGGGAAATAGCAATCCCATTTCCATAGCGATAGAGATGCCCTTCATAGCCCTGAAAGCTATGATATCACGTATCAGACGTGATCGAGGCTCGCGAACGTCGGATATCCTCATCTTCCTTTCTGATCCGCTCCAATTTGTAGAATTTGTAAAGCGCGAGAAGTGCTGAACAGATCAGAAGAGTTGCTCCAGTAACAGCAGTTGTTATAATAGCCATTACCGACCAATTCCCACCTTGCGACGTACAGACGTTGATGACAGTGGTCAGCAGTCCGGCAACAGCATGCAGGCATAGGGGACTAGTTCAGCGTTAAATTGGGATCTGGCTTCTCAAACCTCTCAAGTGGGATTTGCTCACTTACACAAACACTTTGTTAATCAGCCAGGGGTAGTTTCCCCTGAGCTTTGGGACGTGCATCAGCCACATGAGAGCTGCAGTGCCACTAACAAAAAGGAAGCACGCAATAGCGAGTAACGGGGGGTTCTGGATCATATGTAGAGCGGTACGGCCGGCCTTGTTGGTTTGCAACGTCTTTTCAACCTGGCTCGAGGTCTGCAGTGATGTGAACGTGCCGGGAACGACTAGATAGCCAGCAAGCAGCGCCCAGTTAGCCACACCAACCGTGATGCTGAAACGCATATCCATTTGTGCTTCTTC